AGACAACTATCTAGCAACAACCTAGAACACCTTAGCAACTCCCAACCAACCATCCAGAACACCCTAGCAACTGCATAGCAACATGCTAGCAACCAACCAGAACAAATGCGTAGACAACTATCTAGCAACAACCTAGAACACCTTAGCAACTCCCAACCAACCATCCAGAACACCCTAGCAACTGCATAGCAACATGCTAGCAACCAACCAGAACAAATGCGTAGACAACTATCTAGCAACAACCTAGAACACCTTAGCAACTCCCAACCAACCATCCAGAACACCCTAGCAACTGCATAGCAACATGCTAGCAACCAACCAGAACAAATGCGTAGACAACTATCTAGCAACAACCTAGAACACCTTAGCAACTCCCAACCAACCATCCAGAACACCCTAGCAACTGCATAGCAACATGCTAGCAACCAACCAGAACAAATGCGTAGACAACTATCTAGCAACAACCTAGAACACCTTAGCAACTCCCAACCAACCATCCAGAACACCCTAGCAACTGCATAGCAACATGCTAGCAACCAACCAGAACAAACGCGTAGACAACTACCTAGCAACACCCAGAACACCCTACCAACTGCAGAGCAACATGCTATCAACCAATGTAAATGATTGATGGAGTAAGACAACTATCTAGGAACCACCCAGAACACCTTAGCAACACCCAAGCAACCACCCAGAACACTCTAGCAACTGCATAGAAACATGACAGAAACCAATTCCAACAAATGTGGAAATGCGGATTCTATGCATAAAATGGCAACAGAGTGAGAAAACTACCTAGCAACCACCAGAACACCCTAGCAACACCCCGGTAACCACCCAGAATACCCTAGCCTAGCAAATTGCAAAAAAATAGAAACCAATCAGAACAAATGTGGAATGCATAAACTAATCAACAGAGTATGAAAACTACCTAGCAACCACCAGAACATCTCAGCAACACCCTGGTAACCACCTTGAACACCCTAGCAACACCTTGGTAACCACCTTGAACACCCTAGCAACTGCATTTTCAGAAAATGTAAAAATCCAGTTCCTTTATAAAACTGTACAAAACAAAACACTAGTGAAGTACACAAGATAATTAAGAGATGTTTGATACATGCTGAAAATACAATTCCAAAACACACACCGCAGACACTCTCTAGCATGTGCAGCACAGATATCATATAACTAAGAGCAGAGTGCAGATTTAATCAGAAGGATCAGTATTCAGAGGCTGTAGCTTAGAGAGAGAACAACACTCACATCATATGGAAATAGTTACTGTTTGAGAAGATTATCAATCTACCGCTGCTCATCTCAACAGTCCTGATTTGCTGGTTGACCTTCAACCTTGACAAGGATAATGGCATGACTGGGGCTTGCTTAAGATCTGTTTAACACCTAAATAGGCATCAAAGATGAATTTGCTTAAAACATTCCTGATGATACGCAGTTGCAGATACATGTCATTCCAGCATGACTTTCTGTTTTCTATGGGACACAAAAGATAATTTTCTTCCATGCAATGAAAGTCAATGAGGTGCGATGTTTTGTATTGTATAGATAAAAACTTCTGTATCTTCTTTTGTACAATACAGCTCAAAAGTTTGGGGTCAGTAAGATTTTGTTATAAAATAAATTAATACTTGTGTTCAGCAAGGATGCATTAAATTGATCAAAAGAGACATTTAAATGTTACAAAAGATTTTTATCTCAAAATATTGCTTTTTTTTTTTTACATTCTATTCATCAAAGAATCTTGAAAACAAAAATGTATCATAGTTTCCACAAAAATATGAAGCAGCACAACTGTTTTCAACATTGATAATGGTCAGAAATGTTTCTTCAGCATATTAGAAGGATTTCTGAAGGATCATGTGACACTGAAGACTGGAGTAATGATGCTGAAAATTCAACTTTGCATCACAGGAATAAATTAAATTATTAACTATATTTTAAATTATAATAATATTTTACTAATTATAAATTACAATTTACTGAATTTCTAATCAAATAAATGCAGCTTTGGTGAGCAAAAACAACCCCAAACATTTGAAAGGTAGTTTACATCTCTAAATTCATCCTTATAGCACTAGCACTAAAAAAATGTAACAAGATATCTTAAATTTCAATTAAATTTCAGCCAATATATTGATACTGGAAATTTAATTGTGCATGCTTATTTTTTCTATTTTTCTATTTAGATTTCCATCATCGTCATAGATCCGTCTTTAGTTAAATGTAATTCATCAATTACATTTGATTTTGTATACTGTAAATTTTAATTTTCCTGGTTCTGATTCACTTGTAGCATTTAAATAGATTTTTTTTTGTGTGTGTGTTTTATTTTTAATTTATTTAGACAAAATAGCATAGAATCAGCCATTTGCCAGAATCATTTGCCAGAGTATGAACATAATTACTGGCTGATCAGTATCTGACATTAAAATAAGTAGTTAAATATCGGTGCGACCAACTCACTAGTCAACAAGTCAGTTGTTGTACAACTAGTTCAGCATGCATGTCTAACCATACCCCAACGCACATCACATGAACACAAGAACAACGACAAAACAGAAAAGAAAACCTGCAATCTTCCGCCCAACAAATGAGGTTTTCTCTAGGTGTGCACTTTCCCAAGATCTCTGATATAAAACTCTATTATCTCCATTATGACCTGTAAAGCTATAATACTGTCAGTAAACGCAAGAACCGAGAGGCTGATGGGTAACAGGTCATAGAGAAAATGCATCCACCAAATCCTGATACAGCTAAAAGTCTGAGTATGTGTGCTTGTGTGTGACAGCCGACAAAGAGAGGGAAATAACCAGTGATGAATGTTGTCCCCGTAAAGCATTCATTTTCCAACGCGGGAGGGGAAAAAAAGAAGTAGTGAAGACGGGGGAAAAATGTGCAGCGTTGTTACGCCCCGCAAATATATTATTTGACTTCACTCAAGTGCACTGACGGGATGGAGAGAGAGAGAGAGAGAGAGAGAGAGAGAGAGAGAGAGAGAGAGAGAGGACGAG